TACATTTGTTAAGTGAATCACAGCAGTTCTTAAATTACCGTGTTTCTCATATAATAAGGCCGGGTCTTTTTTTTTTTGAGCCCCGAAAAAATGGCTAGGACATCTTTTCGGGGGTGAATTAATTTCTTTCCCCCCCTGCGCACCTTCGGCTAGGGTGCCCTGCGGTCAGCTACGCCTCACCACCAGCCACTCGTAATGGCCAATCATGGCGGAGCGTGGAGGGCTCCCTACCCCCAAGTGCCTTTGCTGCAGACCCGGGTCAGCGGGCAGGCGGTGGGGATGTCTGCTGGCAGTGTTTCAGCTGCTTCTCAGGCCTCCCTAGCTTCCACGGTTCCTGCCAGTGCTGGCGCCTCTCTCGCCAGCGCCGTCTTCAACAACAGCATCTGAGTCGCTCCCGCTTTCCCCCCGTCCCGTAACAACAGGAAAAAAAATATTTTGAGGTATCTGGGAGCACCGCGTACTGCATTTTGGTTTAATCCCGAGTGGCTGGGTGGGTGTGAGAAGAGCCAAGTGAGCATCTCTGCTGCTGCTACCCTTGGTGCTCCAGCCTCGGGCTCTGCAAGTTTCCAAAAGTCCTGGTGCGCAGCCCGTTCCTGCATTCCAAGTGCACCCAGGCGGAGCTGCAGCTGTCCCTCTCTCGCCAGCACCATCTCCAACAACAGCGGCAGCAGCAGCAGGAAACGTGGACGCGTTTCAGCCGCTTCTCAGGTGGGGGAGCCACCTCCGTAACTTCCACTTGCAGAGCCCGAGGCTGGAGCACCAAGGGTAGCAGCAGCAGAGATGCTCGCTCGGGATTAAACCAAAACACAGCGCACGGTGCTCCCAGGTACCTCGAAATGTTTTTTTTCCTGTTGTTACAGGGATGGGGGAAAAGCAGGAGCGATTCAGACGCTGTTGTTGGAGACAGCGCTGGTGAGAGAGGCGCCAGCACCGGCAGGAACTGTGGAAGCTATGGAAGTCTGAAAAGCGGCTGAAACACCGGCGGACATCCAAGCCGACGCCACCCGCCTGCTGACCCAGTTCTGCAGCAAAGGCGCTTGGTGGGGGAAGGGAGCCCTCTGCGCTCCACCATGATCGGCTGTTAGGAGCGGCTGATGGCGAGGTGTAGCTGCCCACGGGGCGCTCCTAATGGCAAGTTCCCCCCGCCTTCCCCCCCAATTTCGCATGTTTTAAAATAGGCCTAAATTTGGGGGGAGGGGCTGTCAGCCTTCAAGATCTTCTACTATTGCTTTGCATCTTTTGGCTGCCATAAGTAACGGGGAGGAGGAGGGGATAAATTCTGGGAAGCGAGCTGGAGGTGTTACATTCTAGTATTGTATAAAATGAGGAGGGGGGAGTATAAACTCTTGCTTAGGTTTCTATTTCTTGCTTAGCTTTCTTTTCTCTGCGCAGCTGCAAACTTTTATCAAAGTATGCCAAGGTCAACGGACAGAATCCTCATCATCACCTGAAGATGTCCACATGATGACATTCACAACTTTTAATTGGAAGAACCATTTGAACTATTGGGGGTGGGAACATTGCCATCACTTTGTATATGTGATTTACGCGCCTATTTTCTCAGATTCAGAATTCTAAGGGTTCCTACCACTTCATTTTCAGTAAAAGATATATTTCCTCTAATCTATGGAATCTAAGTATTTATTTCTTGAATTTTGTATGGAGCACCACTTGACAGGGGCTTAATTTTATTTTATGCCTAGAAAACATGCTGGGTCTTCCTATGGGGGGGCATATTGTTGGAGAAACATGGTAGTATAGGGTTTTTAAGTGAATCTGGTTTCTCCATTGACTTTGCTTATCAAAAGGTTGCAAAAGAGGCTCACATGACTCCAGGACACTGCAACCGTCATAAATGTGAGTTGGTTGTCAAGTATCCAAATGTAAATCACATGA